GAGAATGTACACATACAGGATGTATAATTTTCTGCATTAATTCTGTTTATCGGAACATTGCACCTATATAGATAATTCAGATGCTCATTACTTGAGTTCAAAATCTAGTATGACTCTCAAGTGCTGGTGCTGATGTGCTGCAGTCAGAGGTTCAGCTGAATTCAGTCTCTGAGGTGACATGAAAGATATACCCACAAGGGTATATATATATTCTAACATTTCCAGATTAGGGAACATGGTCACATTTATCAAAAAGAATACAGACTACATTTGCATTTGCAAAGGTATGTAATGAATTAGGTTACTTAGAACTGGTTGCATGTTAGCTACTATGAATGTATCTGCAGTGATCAAAATATAACTAAAACTAATAAAGAATGACACTTAATTATTGCTTATATTTCAATAAAAGATTGTAGGGATTGTCAAAAAATTATGTAATCCCAGAAATAGGTACAATACTATGGAAAAACTCACTAACGTTACAAATATTTCATGTTCTTTTGAATTCTTACCATTTAATAAAAAGCACATGATAACTTTGTATGAAGGGTGGTACAGATGGTTTGTATTTTGTATACATTGTATTCCCATGACAATTTTGTTTTTGTTATGTTCAAAAACTAACAGGACCACAGTAGCTTTTTGATAGCAAACTGAATACAGTTCATAGTGATGAGTGGAAATCCTATCCTCTTTCGCCATTTCTGGTTGGCATAATATTTCTAAATATGATGCTAGGCATCTCTTTGAGAGAGTTCCTGAACAAGCAAACTGCATGAAAACAAGTCTCAGGTCAAAGGAGCAATCGATAAGAAGTGTCCTACAAACAAGAAAAGAATTAGTCACGTGCAGCAAATTGTTGCCTGTAGTTTTGGTTTGATTGGCACTGCATTAACAAGACAATTGACAAAGTACATTTTATTTTACAGATGGGTAATCTAACTCAAGAAGTGTCTCAATTGGGCAAAGACCTACACAATGTAGTGCATCTTTTGGAAAGCCTTTTGACAGCACAGAAAAATACACCTTTCTGGCCTGTTCATGGTGCTCACATGGCCCCAACAGTGGACAACTTGAAAGCAAGAATGGCTTGGACATCACATCAGCCTTGTTTTCACATGCAGCGTGGGACAGCCTCTTGCGCTGCCACAAACCCATCACAAAACTCAACAGTGGCAGCAGACATGTGGTCTTTGGATTCAGGAATCAAATACAGTAACCCTCAAGGACCAGGAATAATTTCACAACAACCGAAGGAAAGTGATCATTACCACATTCTGTCTACACCAGTCCATTCTGAGCATTGCCAGTCACCCCAAGGTGATTGCTTACCGCGTGTTCGACGTATGTCTCCGCATTCTGACACCACGTTAACCCCTCTTCAATCCATGTCAGTGACCCTTTCATCTTCGACATGTTCATCGCCTGAGAGATCAAACCCACTAGCATTCCCTTGCAAATCTAAAGAGAGTAGCAGCTCCAACCTGGGCCCAATCAGCTCATCAGACCTCGGAAATTCTCCAGATTCCTGGGAACTTGAGGGGATGTCAGGTATCTCTTTATCAAACATGGCAGCTTCACCTATGAAAGTTATGACAGGTACTGACAAATTTAAGAATGACAGTGCCATTAATTTGTAATGATTATAATGAATTAATAAGCAAGCACTGAAAAGGTTGGCATTGAACTGTCAGTTTTAAATATTTTATGATTGCATCCATGCAATATTCTTCTGCATTCCATGATATTGCAGAAGTAAGAGTCACAGAAAATGACTTCAGGGGAACACTGGAAATCGAACTTTATGAGAAATAAAGTGGTAGAAATCTAACAGATTATTCTCCAGTGGAGAAAAAAAATGTCAAATAACAGTTTTCAGGAGCATGCTTATGAATCTATAACTATTTGAGCACAAAACTAGTTTGCTTATCTAGCCTGCAGACTCCCAGGGTGATTCAAGACACTTGCAGCCTGAGGACAGCTGGAAATCGAGGGCAGCTGAATAAAAATGGCTCTGCTAGCAGAAGTAATTCTTCCCAAAAGCAAAGATTTTCTTATTTTTGAAAGATCTCTGCTGAACCATCCCAGATGGATATGAATTGGACAGTTTGCTCTGGGTGGTCAGGTGTCCTGCTGATTCATTTTTCTTTGCTGACAAGGCCCAGGTACAATTAACACTGCATGCAGTCTCCTAGACAATCAGTCAACTACAGCTGGTAGCAGAAGGTTAGTTGCTGCACATTGTATCATGTAAATCAATTTGTTCAATTATTTATCAAAAAATGACTATTTTTATACATTTGGTATGGAAACCATATTTAAGTCACATGTTTATAATGAAAACTTTTTGTGACAAAGCTTGAAAGAAAACTCAAATGCTTTACAATAATCCTATTTATGGTGTTATCTCAAATAATTGGAGAAAAGGTTATCTACAGCACTGTGGTGAAAAAGATATGTCATGAATTAGGTTACTTAGAATTGATTGCATGTTAGCTACTATGAATGTACCTGCAGTGATCAAAATATAACTAAAAATAATAAAGAATGACAATTATTTATTGCTTATATTTCAAAAAAAGATTGTAGGGAATGTCAAAAAAATTATGTAATCCCAGAAATAGGTACAATATTATGGAAAAACTCACTAAAGTTAAAAGTATTTCATGTTCTTTTGAATTCTTACTCTTTAATAAAAAGAACTTGATAACTTTGTATGAGGGGTAGTACAGATGGTTTTTATTTGTATACATTATATTCCCACGACAGTTTTGTTTTTGTATGTTCAAAAACTAACTACCATACTTAATACTTGGACACCATACTTAATACTATTCATAGTCATAGTGGAAAACCTATCATCTTTCACCTTTTCTGGTTGTTGTAATAATTCTAAATATGATTTCTAGACATCTCTTTCAGAGACTTCTGAACAAGCAAACTGCAAGGAAACAAGTCGCGGGTCGAAGGAGCAATCGGCAAAAAATGTCCTACAAATTTGGTCATCCTCTAAAACTGATGTCAGGTCATGTGATACACACGCACCAGCTGCTGACATATTATTATCTAGTGTGCAGCTAGTGCTACCTATTCTGAATGTTTTTAGTTCTTAGACAGACGGTGAAAATATATTCAAGAAGACAGCGGTACCATGCATGGGTCATCTGGAGGCCAACTCTAATGCTCTGCAGACATGGGGTGAAGTTCCATCACTGCAGCCAGTGAAATTTGAATTCAATGAATGAAACCTGGATTTAAAAGCTGGTCCTGATAATGGTGAACATGAAGCCTTTGTTGTAAAAACTCACTTGGCTCACTAATATCCATGAGGGAAGGAAATCTGCCATCCTTACCTGGTCTGGCCTACATGTAACTTCACATTCAGAAATGTGATGGATGCTTAATTGCTTTCTGTATGGCCTACAAGATATTCTGTTGTAACAAATTGCCACAAACTATAAAATTAATATATTTGGCATCGACCCAGATACCAGGAACAACCATGGCAAAACCTATCCAACCTGAAAAGTCCATCTTAATTGCTAACTTCTGGGGACGTGTGTCAAAATTGCCAGGACTGTCCTATAATCTAGTCAGGAAGCAGCCTGACATCATCCTAATCACTGAATCATACCTCTATTGACAAAGTCCCAGACACCAGCACCACCATCCTTGGGTATGACCTGTCCCACCAGCAGGATAGACATACCAGAGGTGATTGAACACTGGTATACAGTAAGGAGGGAGTTGCCCAGGAAGACTGCAATGTTGACACTGGGTGCCATCAAGACAAACATGGGCAAGGAAACTTGATAATTACTACTGACCTCACCACCTCAGTTGATGGGGTGGCACGGTGGCTCAGTGGTTAGCACTGCTGCCTCACAGCGCCAAGGACCCGGGTTCGATTCCACCCTCAGGCGACTGTCTGTGTGGAGTTTGCACATTCTCCCCGTGTCTGCGTGGGTATCCTCCAGGTGTTCCGGTTTCCCTCCCACAATCCAAAGATGTGCAGGCTAGGTGGATTGGCCATGCTAAATTGCCCGTAGTGTTCAGGGATGTGTAGATTACCTGTGTTCTAGGGGTATTGGTCTGGGTGGGATGCTCCAAGGGTTGGTGTGGACTTGTTGGGCCGAAGGGCCCGTTTCCACACTACGGGGATTCTAGTCTATGGACTATTCCATGTTGAGCAGCCATTCGTTGGATCACAGAGTGACAAGGGCACAGAATGAAGCCTGGATGGTAATTTAGTGGCATCACTGTGAATGGCTCAGTAGTACACTTCTCAGCAAGCTGGTCAAATCTGAAATGATGCAACTGCTAGACTGGGTCTGCAGCAGGCGGTATGGGAACCAATAAGAGGGAACTACTGGTTCTAGATCATCCTCACCAATCTACCTGTCACACACATATCTTCCTAAAACAGTACCGGGAAGGGTAATGAAAGAATCACTGTACAGTCCTTGAGTCAACACGATGCATCTCAGGTGTGCCCTGCACCATCCACAACAATATGGCAAAATCTGTCAACCTAAACAGAATTCAAACATAATCTGTAGCCATATAACTGCCAATTTCACAATTCGACAATCAGCATCAAGCTGATGGAACAACTGTGAAGAGGGGAGGATGCAGGAGGGCATGCCAGGAGCAGCACCATGCATACCCAACAATAAGGTATCATTCATTTCAAGCGACACGACTACATATGCGCTGAATAGTGGCAGCAGAATGTGGTAGAGAGCTGAGCAATGTGGTAACCAACAGATCAGATCGAAGCTCTGCATTCTCCCCTCATACAGTCATGAATAGTATTGGGCAATTAAACATATATCAAGAGGAGGTGGCACACAAATATCCCCTTTCTCAATGATGTGGGAACCAGCACATTAGTGCAAAAGACTAGGCTGAAGTATTTGCAGCCACCTTGAGACAGAAGAGCTGAGTGGATGATCCATATTGGCCTACTCCTTCATGATGATATAAAATGGATGGAGGCACTGGATACTGCAAAAGCTATAGGCCTTGACAACTAGTCATACTCCTATCCATGCTATTCAAGCACATCTACAACACTGGGGTCCACAAGTCAATGTGGAAAATTGCCCAAATATGTCCAGTACATAAAAATCAAGACAAGTCCACTTGGCCAGTTACCATTATCATCAACGAAGCAATGGTAGTGGTCTTTGACATTGCTACAGGGTGAAACTTGCTTAAAAATAACCTACTTCTAGCTGTAAATTTGAGTTCCATTCGGACCATTCAGCTCTGACCTAATTACAGCCTTGGTCAAAACATGGACAAGAGCATTGGATTCAAGCAGTGAAGTGAGAGTGACTAACCTTGACTGACCTTGATTTAGTAAGGCATCCCAAGGAGCCAGAAGAAAACTGAAGCCAATGTAAATCAAAAGTAAATATCTGCTGGATAGAGTCATACCGAGCATGAAGAAAAATAGTTGTGGTTGTTAGATGTCAATTATTGCAGTCCCCAGACATCACTGAAGAGTTCCTTAGTTTAGTGTCCTTCGCGTAACCAGGTACCAAGGGTTCAACAAGGCAGAGTACCTACAAGAGTGTAAAGATTTTTTGTGGGAGGTGGGGACCTTAAAAAGAGATTACAAAAGATAAGAGAATGCATGAGAAAGCATTGGTAGATGTAACATAGGAAAAGTATTTTTTTAAAAATATATAGAGAGCTGAGGAATAAGGATGAAAGAGTCGGCCCATTAGGGAGTGTAATGAAATACTATACACTTGCCTGGATGAAAGCAGTTGCAACAAGCAGCCCACCCATTTGACCATTACATTCAACATGTTAAACATTGATTCCCCGCACCACCAATACTCAGTGGCAGCAGTGGATTCTAAAAATTGCACTGCAGCAACTCACCAAGTTTTCTTCTCCAATACCTTCCGAACCCTTGGCCTCTTACACTAAGAAGGGCAAGAGCAGTTACATGGAAGAAGAATCATACTGGACTCAAAAATTAACTCTGTTTCTCTCTCCACAGATGCTGCCAAATCTGCTGAGTTTCTCCTGAATTCTGTATTTGTTACTGTCAGTAACACATTCTGTTCTTGAAAACATTGATTGCATACATTGTGATGCTGGAGATGGTGATTGATAGAGGTCGTCTGTACACCCTTTCTCCAACAGAGGAAGACAATGGGCTGAAGATTACATTTTACCAAACATGTATTTAAAAGTGGAGGTTTGGGTTGCTCATAAAACAAAATGGCCTGCCCATCTACCCGCGCGCGCCCCCCCCCCCCGCCCCTCCCAAATTACAGAGGACAGGTATCAAGCCCTTGGCCCCATTTAGACCTTTAAGTGACCAATAGCAACTCAAGGGCCTCTTTCTGTTTCTTCCAAAGTCTAAAGTGTGGCAGGAGAAGGTGGAACAAGGCAAATAACATGTAATCTTATCTTCATAAGCTATTGTCAGGCAAGTACAGATGGGTCAGTACCTTCTTTGGAGGAAACTTTTTTGCCCATTGGTGACACCGCAGCATCCCTCAAGATTGTACCACCCTCTTTATCCCACCATCTAAAGCCCTCCTCATTTTCTCCCACCTGAGATTCCAGGCAGATTCAATCAAAATCCTGATTTACCTGTATTCCACAATCCATTGCT